AATAAGTTCCAAACAACCAATATATAGAAGGTATTAATATAATTTTTCCTTTCATTCCAACCGTTAATAAAGTCACTCAACATCTTTTTAAATATAATATAACAATCCATTAGTTAAATTATTTTAAGCAAGGTTTTTCTTGCATTTTTTCTTTAATAATTTTGAATTAAAAATGAAAATTTCGACGTAAGAAATAAGAATTCAGTTGAATAAATTGACATTGTTTTATGAATTCAAGTACAATTCTATTATTATATGCAGGGACGAAGCCAAGATCTGATGGGGATGTTTATATGTTAAACACCCTTTAGTTTTGACAACACATTTTAGCTCTACACTTTGTTGTTCAAACATATCTAATACAATGAAGTATACCATAGCATTTATTTTTGTGGTGAAATAATGACACATTTACACCTCCAAAACAAGGCGAGCACCACATGGTGATGAAGTTTTTTAACTATTAAAAATTGGGAAATAATCAAAGTGATTTGTGCTATCATATTAAAATAAATAAAAGTTGAGGGGGGCCTAAAATTGTTACTAGGTAAACTGTGTTGGAATAAAAAGGTTGGGTGTGGTCCAGGGGTGTAGCTAGGGGGTGGCCACCCTGGCCCAACCCAAATTTTAAAACTGTCTATATTTTTAGTGTAAAAAAATCCTGTGTAAAAATTTTTCTAAAAATATTCTTTGTACAAGTCTTGTCCGGCCCAGTGTACTGCCTCCGCCCCTGGTGGGGCCAAGGCCCCATTGGTACACACACCTCACCCCCTGACTATATGTACATGTATCATCATTAAAAATTTGTGTTTCATGTTCTTTTTGTCTATAAACTCCACCAATCATGACTTTATGAGCCCGTTTGGTAGCACGAAAATCGGCTGACTTGGCTGATTCTGCTGAAATTTATGAAGTTCTGGCTGAAGTGACTGCATTGGCTGATTCTGCTAAATTAAGAAATAAATGTTTTTAAAATATATATTTTATTAATAAAATAAAGAAAATATTATATGTAAAAATAGCTAAAATGGTCATCTACAGTAACTTCAGCCAATACAGTCAGAAAAGTAACTCCTACCTTACGTTTTCTGCTTATCACACAAGTTCAGTGCGCGAAAACATAAGTTACGTGTTTGGCAAAAAAGTTGGCTGATATGTTTGATAAGCCCAAAAACAATGTTGCCAAACGGCCACTATATTTTTTAAACTTTATGATGTAGTATTGTTATTAATTAATGATCATTTGATGATAGGATTCTTGCAAGTTGCAAGGTCTCCTACATAACTTCTACAACATAAATTTTGATATATATTTTATAAATATTTGAATACAAATAAAAAAGAATTTGTTTCTTGTATCTCGAAAACATGGGACTCCATCTTTTTTCCCTGCCATTTCTTCTCTTTCTGTCAAGTTGGGGAATCCACCCCCAAATAGTCTCCCCTTCCCCTCTCTACTATCTCAGACATCTCCATGGTGTTATTTTGTTAACACTTCAAGGAGGGTGAACATCACCCTTTATCTTAATTGTTGCCATGTAACCATAAATTTCATTTTTTTCTTTAAACTGTTATAACTTTTTATTTGTGATTTAATTTTTGTGAAAACATATATCAAATTTAAAAACTTCTTATTATCTTTTCAATGGTATCGCTATTGTATATAAAAAAAATTGAAAATAATAATAATTTTTTTAAGTATTTACCTTTAGGTGGATTTTTGTTTTATTTTTCATATAGAATACTGGTACCACATGACAGACCATACAAATTAAAATTTTGATATATTTTTATTAGAAATTGAATAAAAATGAAATAGTTAAAAAATCGTCAAATTATAATATGTTGCCTTGCCACTTTGCACCCATGTAGGGTGGGGGTGATGTTCAATCCTCCTTTGAGGGGTGAACAAAACAACTCATCCAATTAGGTGCACTCCTATATTCTTAGGAGTCCTCATTTTACACATTTTAGCCTTCTATTTCCTTCCCCACTACTTATGGATTGGTGTCATTTTACTTCCTTGGCCGTCCGCCCTCGAGTCTTTTCTTTATGCTAGTTGCTACCGAAGTGCAAAAAAATTGTTTTTATGCTTTCACCCCAAGTGTGCTCCACAAATTTCTTGTTTGTGTCTACAAACATTAATTTCCATACAAGGTACAAAAGCATTTTGATTGCATTTGACATAAATGCTGATGAAATTATCATCTAAACCCGTCGTATCCATAAAAACTCATTGTAATCGGACACGGAGTATGAATTGAGGAGCACAAAAGCATCATGATACCGTGATTCCATACGATAGTCACATATGCTCCATAATTTTTTTGTGCAATTAGGAGTGACACAAAAGGTAAGTCTTAAATTCGAATGGTGATAATTGCGATTAGAAAATTCTATATAAAATCGCACATAATCTCAACAAATATTTGAGTCATAATCCCACTAAGAGCAACCCCAATGGGAAACTTCCTAGAGTTTGTGAAATATGCCACATGTCAATTAATTAAAAGGGTTTCTATTCTACATCATCCAAAGTGGACTAGCGGAAGTTTCAAGTATTAAAAATTACTCTAATGCATAAAGTCTATGGCCCAAGTCAATCATACATGTGGCTTTATTTTTAATTAATAAAGCATTATTACCCCTATACGTTATTAGTTAGGTTTCAACGGAAATCATCCGCCCCACGCATCGGCACAAGCTCCTGCTCTTTTTCAGTCCTATTCCATTGAAGTTATTCCAAGAACAGGTAATTTATGTTAGCAGATTAATCAAATTGAACACTTTTCGTTGATGACCATGTAATATGGCCGACTTTTTTCAGCTTTTTATATGAATAATATACATGTATAAAACCCAATTATATATATATACTGATATACATGTATGTATGTATTATTATAAAACTACATATATATATTATCTATATATGAACTTTTCTCTCTCTACATATATGTATCGTTGTTTATTTGCAATCTTTTATTGATTAGTTTTAAATCATGCAAATTTTTATAGTACGTATAAGAATCTTGATTGTTTTTGTGTTTGAACAGGTTTAAGTTGATGGATATGGCTTCTCCAAATTTTGATTCAGACTCTAATAGTTCATCTTCAACTGAGAGTGAACTTTCACTTTCCAAACATTACTTTCATGGCGCAAATAAGAATTCGGATGGTACCTTGATTGTTTCTTCAATATTGACCGCTGTAAAGTTCTCTCTTGACGGCTCAACATCAAGTAGATGCTATATTCGTCGTGATAGGAAAGAGCGCCATGATATAATAGTTAATGACTATTTCAAAGGTGAAAACTCAAAGTACACCCCTGAACTTTTTCGTCGTAGATTTAGAATGAATATTGAACTATTCAATAGAATACTACAAGATGTTGAGAACTATGACAATTATTTTCAACAAAAGACAGATGCTGTTGGAAACATTGGGTTGAGCCCCCTCCAAAAGATGGTTGCAGCAATACGTATGCTGGCATATGGTTGTCCAGCTGATTTGCTTGATGAATATGTTCAAATTGGTGAAAGTACCGCGGTTGAAAGTTTGAAGCGTTTCTGTGATGCTATTATAGGACTCTATGAAGAGCATTATTTGAGAAAACCAAACAAGGATGATATTAGAGTGCTCCTAGAAGAAAATGAGACTCGAGGATTTCCTGGTATGCTTGGCAGCTTGGATTGCATGCATTGGCAATGGAAGAATTGTCCCACCGCTTGGCATGGCACGCATACGAATGGTTTTAAAAGAGTACCCACTCTTATTTTAGAAGTTGTAGCTTCAAAAAGTTTATGGATTTGGCATGCTTTTTTTGGAATGGCTGGTAGTAACAACGATGTTACCGTTTTAGATAGATCACCCCTATTTGATGATATAATTAATGGTATTGCTCCGCCATGCAAATTCATTGTTCAGGGTCATGAGTACAACATGGGTTATTACTTAGCTGATGGGATATATCCAAAGTATGCTACTCTTATCCAAACAATATCTCAACCATTGTCTGTGAAGGAAAAGTTATTTGCCAAAAAACAAGAATCAGCGAGAAAGGATGTTGAGCGGGCATTTGGTGTGTTACAAAGTCGATGGCATATAATTAAAGGACCTGCTCGGATGTGGAGTGCTAAAGACTTGGGAAAGATAATGAAGACATGCATCATCTTACATAACATGATTATTGAGAATGAGCGTAGTGAAGGCATTAATCCAGAAGATTGGCGGGACGAAGGAGATGATCCCAGTGAAAGTGTTAATCTTGAGCATGATTTTACCTTAATTATGTCCATGATGATTAATCGAACAAAGGAGATACAAGACACATGGTTACATAGAGAATTAAAAAAGGATCTCATCAACCATTTGTGGGAAGTCTATGGTGGTCAAGTTGATATTGATTAATTTGTTTTTTTTTTTTGCATTTTGTGAACCCTCCATTTTTAATTTAATGTTATACTACGTAAGCTTTATTATTGATGATCCATTATCACATCTTTAATTTTTATTGGTAGTACGCTCATCATTATAATGGTTATATCTTACATGTTTTCATAACAATGTAAAGATTAACTAGCATTTTTTATTCTCATCCACAGGACCTAGAGTGATTTCTTTTCCTTGTATTCTCTGCACTCCGTATTAAGTTCTACATGGTCACAATACCACACATCATGATTTCTTTTCCTTGTATTCTCTGAACTCATCATGTCATCCACACTGTATACTATCATCATTTAAAACTAGCATTTTTATTGTCATCCACAGAACCAGTGTTTCTTATAGTTTGTATACAAATTGAAGATTAACTAAAACAAAAGTACAGCCTTACTGCATCAGTTTTGAACTTTCGAAAACAGCTTTATAAGAGGAGTCATTAAAATGTGTTTTATAAAAGGTTTACGTTTTCATTTGAACCTTCAAATGAAAACAGTTGTACAAGTGTTGTCTCCCAGCTTTCATGCAATTAAATAACAGGAAAACAAGTTACTCCCAAAACAAACAAATCAATAACGTTATTAATAAACAAACAAGGTTCATATATTTTTAGGAAATATATAACTAAACCATCTAAAACACTAATGCTTAAAGGAATAATAGTCTTTGAAATAAAATGAAACTGACATGTTTGAAACTAAAATGCATTAATATATATCCTATGTATTCAAGTATAAAAGCTGCCAATTCCCCACTCCTTTGATATTTGAGCTTGTAACATTTCATATGTAGCTCTGGCAGTAGGTGATAGCTTACTCAAATCAACATTCATAACGCGTTCTTGTTCTAACCTTTTTTGGGCTCGCTCTCTCATTTCTTGGTCCTTCATCTTCATTTTTTGACTATTCTCTTTTAGTTCTATCTCCTTCCTCATTAGTTCCTTCTTCAACTCCATCTCTGCCATATTAAATTCGACTTGCTTGTCAAAGGTACACTGTAATTTACTCAACACTTCTATCACTCCATTTTCTGAATTCAACTTTCGCTTTCTTTCTTTACAACTCTTCCTTCCCTCTGGCCGCACAACATCATCACATGTAAGTTTCTCAGGCTCCACAGAACAATTGCGCACATTAGGTGTGTTCTTATTTGTAACCACTGTGTTACCATTGACTAAACCATCTTTATCTGCTGCCGATGACTTTGAGAGCTGACTTGTGCACCATTTTGGATTCGTTATCAGAAGTTCCCAGCAATGCACATACATGAATTCCTTTTTCTTATTACCACTGCTTGAAAGCCTTTCATACATTCTCAACGCATTTGTTTTCTGTAAAAACAAAAACAAAAATTAATGCAGTGAAGTATTTGTGCTTTCATATGCATAGCTGAAAGCCTGGAATAAACAAAAATTTAAAGAAACACATACTAAATCTTCTGGATTTGATCCACTTTGAGGATGCCTTCCAAGTTTCTCATAAATTGCGTGGAACTTATTGATTGCTTTCTGCATTTTGTTCCATCGACATTGGATGCTGTTACTGTTTCTAGCATTAGTAAATTTATCTCCCATGATGTCCCTCCAAACTTGTAAGATTCGCTCCCACATAGTTGTCAGTTTCTGATTGTTACCAACATCAGGATCCATAGAAATAGATAGCCATGCTGTTGTTAGTGCAACATCTTCTTCTGAACTCCAATAATCTCTTTTAGGAGTGAAAGGTTGAGAAGTATTGGAACTATCATGGACAACTTTGGGGTTCCTTCTCCCTCCTCCGTGTGAACTGTGTGTTTCAGTGGGCTCACTTGAAATAATGGGAGTGTTTAAGAGATTTTGGAATGAGAATTGAGATCCATAAGGTATATTATAAAGAGGATAAGAACCATTTAATGGATTGAGCTGATATGGAGGCTGAAACTGATGGCTTATGGGAGTAAACTGATTTGGAATTTGGTTTGACAGGTTAGCATGGTTGGGATGTTGGGAGCTTGGGAACGGATTAGACCCTGAATCCATGTCAAATTGTACCTGCACATCATGAAAAGAAATAAAGAAAAAGAACAAAATCTTGTTACCTATCAAAGGACTTGAGATAACAACATATCAAATGCTATCAATTGTTTTCTGCCTAACATCATAGTTTTTCACTTTTTCTTTTTTGTGCAGCAAAGTATTTTCTTATCATCCAATACGGAATGAAAAATTTCAGAAGTGTGTAGCTAATGTATATAAGACTTAATATTTTCATACCCCATATATATGCTTTAAGATTGTGCGGGTTAGTAAGAATTCTACATCATTTCTTATTTCTGTTGAGTAAACATCAAGACTTAATGCCAAAATATGTAACAAGACCTAATGGCTTTGAAATAACTGAAATGGCACAAGCATTTGATTATTACAGTAGTGGGGGGGGGGGGGGGGGGGGGGTCACTACATCATAATCTGAATGCTTATAGAGTTCTATTTGATCAAGTAAGTTAATTGGACTTCCTATGTAATACTATAATCTCTTAATCTTGTGCAGTCATAATGTAATTTCTACTTTTGAAAATATGTGTGTTACACTATTATTAGTTCCCATAAAAGAGTCTTTTTAGATACTCCACAATTTCCATTTATTAGATAAGCCATAAGAACCTTTTTTATTTTGTCTTCCTAGAACTTACAACCTCTTATTAGAACTGTCAGGCTAATGACAATATCGCCTGATGGTATTACTGCTGTAATTGATCTCCTACACATGAGTCATTATAATACAAGAGTATTTTACAACATAAGTTAAGAACTATGTCATGGTAGAGTTAAGGTAGACTGTTACTCCATGACCTGGGAAGTTGGGGAAAAATCTCCAGGCCACCACAGTAAAGAGGGTCATTTTAAAATAATTAGGAGTTCTAATAAACTTCCACAACACATGGTATCTAATCCATCTCAATGTCTTAATAAGTACTCAATGTTTATATTGAATTATAATCACAAAAATCGAATTCAGTGACAAGAAGTTGTTCAGCTAGCTATCTAATAAACTCAAATTCTCATATGGCAGCAACTAAAAGAAGTTATTCCATCTCAAAATGATAAACAAGTGAAGTAATTTACTTCTCATATCACATTCAGATTATCAATCGGCAACTACACGGATTGTTAAAAGTCACACCATGATATCAATTGAGCTTACGTTATCAAAGTTAAGTTTGGAATCAAACACAAACAAAATTGACCTGGTTTTGAGGGAGCTCAAAGATCAATATGAATCGGCAAATATAAACACAATTACTTTGAATCGGCAAATGTAAACACAATTAGTGTGAATCGGAAAAACGTAAACACAATTACTATGAATCGGCTGGGTTTTCCTGAAAAATTAAGGTTAAAAAACTAATTTTAGACATACCCGTTCTTGTTGAGACTTGAGAGAACCCAGAGCTTCTTCGGTGATGGAAACACCAGAGAGAACTATTTGTGGCAGTTCGGCAAGAGTGTTCAGAGTTCACGATAGCTTTGAGTTTTCGATTTCCCTCTTTTTTTTTGTGAAGCCGCGCCTAAATTTTGTCTAGTTTTTTGTGAAGCCGCGCCCGATTTTTGTCTAGTCAGCAAGTTTCGACGGGTTTCTACAATCAAACGTTCTCCATCACAGTGTGTAGATTTTTTTTGCCATGTCAGCAAAGGACTATACGCATTGGACATATGTATACACGGATCCTGTCTAATTCCGATGAAGTGGCGCACTAAACCTACACTAGACAGCCCCCATTGGGGTTGCTCTAATGATCTCTCAGTGATTAAAATCTAGTTCAGGTTCTCCTAATTAACTCTAATTAAGTGTGCTGCCATGCTTGGACTCTTGAGATAGTTGTCATCCTTTAATTCTATCCCTACCTCTTTCATTCTCCCGCCCACCTCCATCGACAGTTATCATTATCTGCAATCATATCTTACCTCCCCCAAAGCAACACATCCCGTAAATATGTATATATAGTATATACATCACTAGCTCCGGCCACTTGCAGACTCGCTAGCCGGAGTTTATATGGCTAAACATCCACTCTTCTCCAGCTTCTTATCTGTTCTTGGCCTCCTACTCCTCCACTTTGGCTGTTTCATCTCCTCCTCCGCCTCCCACCGCCGCCGGCGTGAACACCACCGCACCACCGCCGGAGCTGTGTCTGTTTCTTGGTTCTTCATTAAACGCCTCTTCCGCTGCGTCCTCCCTCCTCAGGCGCCTAATCTTTCCTCCCGGCCGTCTCCCTGTTCCTCTTCTGGATTATTAGCAAAGCCCATCTTCACCCCTTTAGCCTCGCCGGAGAAGCTCATATCGGGTCGACCCGCTTTCGATACCCCATCGGGTCAACCCAATATCTATCCCTGTAGCCTTTGCGGGGAGATTTTCCTCGTCGCCGGCCTTCTCGAGAAGCATCAGTTTGTGAAGCACGCGATCTGGGAGCTCGAGGGCCGCGATTCGGGCCACAATGTCGTTCGGATTATATTCAAGACGGGTTGGCCCGCCATAGCCAAGAATCCGGTTGTACACCGGATCCTGAAGATCCATAATAGCCCGAAGATTCTGGCCCGGTTTGAAGAATACAGAGAGTTCGTGAAGTCGAAAGCCGCACGCGAAGTAGCCGGGAGGAGGCGGGACGCGCGGTGTATCGCCGACGGAAACGAGTTGTTGAGATTCCACTGCTCCACTTTCCTGTGCGACTTAAACCGCGGTGTTTCCGGCGGCGGCGCGTGCAGCTACCAGTTCTGCAGCGCGTGCGGGATCATCAGGAGCGGATTCTCCGCCAAGATGGACGGAATCTCGACGCAGTCGTCCGGGTGGAAGGCCCACCGGGCGGTGCCGGAGGAGATAGAGGAGGAGTTCCAGTTTATGCGCGTGAAGCGGGCGATGTTGGTATGCCGGGTCATCGCGGGCCGGGTCGGGGGCGACCCGGACGTGGTAGAGAAGGAGGGTCCCGGGTTCGATTCCCTTGTCGGGAGAGGGAATGGGGTGTGCCCTAGATTGAACGACGAAGATGAACTGTGGGTCTACAATCCGAGGGCTGTACTGCCTTGCTTTGTTATAGTGTACACTGTATAGGACTATACGCAAATTATTACTGTCTGGGAAGGAATGTGATAAAATGAGTCGAAAATAGTCAAAATACACTTCAATATGGGTTATTTTCAAATACCTCCTTGAGGTTTAGGCATTTGACACTTTTAGTCGAAGTATGAAGGGAAAACTGTCAAATAGGTCCTCGTACTTTGATAAAAAGGTCAATTAAGTCCTTCTATAGGAGGTTCTGTCCGGCCGTCGCGATTTGGGGCAGTTCCCGATGGAGTTTTTTGATGAAATTTTTTGAGCTTCTTATTCACCAAGTCTAGTTTACTCATACCAAATTTCAGCTAAAAATTCAACCGGGAACACATTCAAATTAATTCTTGAAGATAACTGCGCATTTTTGCGTTCTCGAATTAATTTGAATGTGCTCCCGATTAAAATTTTAGCTAAAATTTGGTATGAGTAAACTAGACTTGATGAATAAGATGCTCTAAAAATTTCATCAAAAAATTCCACCGGGAACCGCCCCAAATCGCGATGACCGGACAGAGTCTCCTATAGAAGGACTTAATTGACTTTTTTATGAAAGTTCGAGGACCTATTTGACAGTTTTCCCAAGTATGAATATATTATTGATAAGCCCCTCTATTATAAAATACATGTATGGCAGAAGGGGTCACCCCTACTTAACCAAGACTGCGATTTTTTTTAAACTAAGACAAGGAAAAATTGACACATCAGTGTCTTATTCCCTCCGTTCCTGAATTATCTTCAAACTTTCTTTTTTCGTTCGTCCCAAAATTATCTTCTCTTTCCTTTTTTGGCAAAGAATTTGTGGTTCACAACCATTCTTACACATTCTTACACATTTCTCTCTCCTCTGCACAACTCTCCACCACACAAATCCAACTATCTTAATTAGTGTGCCCAGCCGAAATGGGAGATAAAACAAGGACGGAGGGAGTATAATAATAGTCCTGCAACAAATCCATTTCATTTTCATACGAAGGAGTATTATACTAGTATTAAAACTTATAGGGAGTACTACATAGTTTTTATAATATTTCATATCACATTAATATGTATATGCTATCATATAAAGTTACTAAAAAATTTGAAGATTCAACTATTAGAGTTTTTTAGACTCTAATAGTATATGAAAATATGAAATTCAAAATTTTTAATACATGGCTCTTCCATAAATAGTAGAAATTTACCTCAACTTATTTTGTTTTATTAACCAAAAAATAAAACAAAAGTTAATGATTTTTTTATTTTTTCACATCGAAATTTGTATTTTCTAATTACATAATAGTTCAGTAAAAAGTAAAAGAACAAAATCACTTAGAATAATTTAACTATCGTTTTACTACACTAATACTCCATCCGTCCCAATATAAAGAACATATTTGCTTTTTCAAACATTCTAAGGAGGAACACTGTTTGACACTGTTTAGACACCGTGTAAACACTTTTTTGACACTGTTTGGCACTGTTATGCACTGTTTTGTTTGCCAAAAAGGGAAATGTGCCTTTTATATTGGGACGGCCCAAAAAGGAAAATGTGCCTTTTATATTGGGATGAGAGGAGTTTATAAGAAACATGTTGAGTGTACTTTATAAACGGTATTTGAATGTAGGGAAAATGGTGTTGACAGAGTCTATACATTATTTTTTCATATCGACAAAGTCCATATTTAAATTTTAAGATGGCCTGGTGCATGCATGTAGATAGCCAAGTATGAAGTCTCGAGAGAGATAGGGTGGCACAAACAAAACTTTGAAATATTTTTACGAAAATTATTAAACGGTGAATGGATGCAATTTTAAAATTTGAAATGGGCCGGAGCCTAAAATACCCCATAAATACATCTAGACCTATAAAAATTCCGGCCCACGAAGACCTGCACTAGCCTGAGACATTTGGGGTGGGTCCACTTTGCACTGACCCACCCTACTTATACATATACATATACTCGTATTTTCTAAAACTATACCATCAATGAGCTGAGTTCTTTTGAAAAATATTACTGAAATGAACCATATTTACAAAAAATACTACGTAACTAATCATTACTATAATTTCATCTCATAGTCACTTAAGTATAAAATTCAAACATATATGACTATAACTATGTTACTATTATAGTCACTATACACTTGAGAAGGTCATAATATGACATTGTGACCTAAGTAACTCTATATTCACTACACTAAGTATTAGGGGTGGGCACGGTCCGGTCCAATATTTGGCCGAACCCGTACCCGTACCGTTACTATTGAAACGGTTCGGTACGGTTCGGTCTTAGACCCAAACCCGTTCGGTACGGTTCATTTTCAAACAGGACGGTACCATGTCATACCAATACCAAACAATGCCACTTTTTCCAGGTATTTAAGAAAAAATTAAAGTTTAGCCATCCTCAAAAAAATCCACACAATTTATCAATTTTCATATATCATACTACCTTCGTTCCAAATTGATTTGCAAAGTCAATCTTTTTTGGTCAAACAATTTCTTTTATTCACTTAATTAGAATTTTACTTTTTAATTATATTCTAATTTGGCCTTTCAAAAAAACTACTCAGTACTTCGTATATTTTAATTTGGATTTTGCAACTTTAGAGAGATTTTAATGTGGTTTCTAAATATGTAAATTTTAATTATTAAAAATTGTATTAATATCAAGAACTTAACATTAACTTTGACAAAACAATGTTGGCTTTGCAAATCAATTTGAGACGGATGAGGTAATTAATATATTTTAGATAAACTATAGTAGTACAAATTTAATAAACCATACTTCGGTCCGGTTCGGTCCGGTACCGGTTCTCATAAAGGTCATGGCATTGTTTGGAACCGGTTCGGTCCGGTTCGGGACAAAAAATTTTGAGATCCGTTTCAAACTCCGCTTATCGGTCCGGTACCATACCGGTCCGGTTCGGTATCATGCCGGTTCGGTATTTTTGCCCACCCCTACTAAGTATAGTCAAAGTTTTTTGTAAACAATACTCCCTCCGTATCGCAAAATAGTTCCCGGTTTCCGTTTTGGGCCGTCCCAAAACAAAGTTCCCATTTCCCTTTTTGGAACGTTTTTTTGTGGCTATCATTCATTTACCTTTTTCTTACTCAACCACAACCATACATTTTCACTTTATTCTCACTTTTTTAAACCCCGATCCAAATCAATTCGGGAACCATTTTATGGGATGGAGGGAGTATTAATTTCAATCACATATATGTAAATATTTCCACTACAAGTATACATATACTTTTGTTAGGCACAAAAAGAAAATGTATAATTGACGAAATAGAGAAAAATACGTAGTAATAAAATATTAAAACATAAGATGTTACAAAATTTAATTTATCAAAAAGTGAAATGATTAAATGACGAATACGTATAAATGGCTTCAACCTACTCATGTACTGTATTTAAGTATTAGGGAGAAGGGGCTAATCAATAATATATTGATACTTCTTCTGAAAGTGTCAATGCAAATACCCAAACCTCAAGGGAGGTATTTAAAAATAACCCCTTCAATATTTATCTTCATGTATGGACTTTTTTTTGGGAAAAGAACGAAAAAGGGGCTTGTGGTTGGGCCCGTTTTCAGATAGGGTCATCTGTTTCATTATTTATCAAAGTGGTTCATGTGTTTGAATTCCGTTATCACAAGAGGGTCACACCGTTAAAAACGTCGGAAAAAGACCGTTAAAAGTAACTACGATTTTCAAAAGTGATCGGAAAATTAAAAGAAAAATACGGAAAGGTCGTCAAGATGACCTCCAAACCACCTTTGCCTTTGGATTTTTCGGATCTGTTTGAATTATTTTTTAAAAATGATTTCGCCGATATCACTTTTCTGGTGGACTTTCCGGTGACAAGGGTGACTGAAAATAAAAAAGAAAGATGGACTAGTGATCGTCTTATTGAGGCGCACCTTTCGGTATTTTTCTTTTAATTTTTCGGACGCTTTTGAAAATCGGAATTACTTTTGACGGTCTTTTTCAGAAGTTTTTAACGGTGCGACCCTCTTGTGATAACGGAATTAAAACACATGAACAACTTTGATAAAGAATGAAACACATGACCCTATATGAAAACGGGCCCAACCACAAGTACTTTTCCTTTTTTTTTGAAAAAAATGTATGGTTTTGTTTAGATATACAAATCTGTACCGTATATTATAATAAAAGAAACCCTAAAGAACTCTTTAGAGAAATTGTTGACATGTGGCAACATCCCTTCTTTTTTTTTTTTCCGAAAAACACAATTTTAGTAAAGGAAAAACAGAGGAAAGTCCATCGAAGATACAAAAGAGGAATGCAAGAGAAGGAAAACCCAACCCGTAGTGCAACTAGATTGAAGAGAGCAAATCACCCAAGAGAGCAAAAGGAGTTCATTCTAGATTGAAGAGGTCCACCCGAGATTGGGATCGAGTCCTCATTGTGTGTGAGCGCTGATGCTTTTTTCTATATAATTTAATTTGAGTGTTCAAATTTGATGTAGGCAAACACTTATCCCTCGTGACTAGTGTTGCCTTGTAATTGCACATGTCCTGGTTGGCATCTGAATCCCATAGATCTTCCATGGATGATATAGGAGGTCTTTCTCACTCTCCGAAGCATGGCTAAGAAATTCATCCCCAGAATATGAGTAAATATGATCAGCTAGCAAAGACACACTCTCCATCAATAGAGGGTTGATTACCTGTAAGAACATCGTTGACCTCCAAAGTACTCAAGTTTGTATAAGAAAATGACGTGTGACAAAACAATACATTAAAGAAAAACTATTCAACTTCCATAACTCTACTCTTATGTATTCCAATATTATAGATATGTTTTTATATTAATATATGTGTATATATTTGTTATAATGTTCAATATAAAATTAGGTAAAATTTTGCACTCGCCGGTATTACAAGATCCAAGTACTCAAAAATAAAAATATTACTTCTATTTCTTTTCGCATAAACTCTTGGAGATTCTTCCTTATTCATTTTTTTATAAATTGTTTCTTATTTGTTTCCAAAATATGATAATAACTACATCCTTCTCCCACTTTTCATCCCAACATTAGCTAGATAATTTTTTTTAATAGTTGCACATGTCTCGATCATAATGGGACAAATTTGATGTTACTTATCTATTTAATAATTCACAAGGTCTATCAAATCAATCTATAAAGGTAGATTCAATTTTGTTGTCTCATATTTATTTATTTTTCTCAATTTATGTTCACGTTGTTAAATGGGTTAGCACTACCCAATTTCATAGCTTGGATCGTCTAACTGTCTCATGATCTCAAAATGCACATTATTTTTAATGGAGGTGCACAATACACTTATAGTTAAAATAATTCATACTTTAAAAGGATAGGAAAGGTTGATTTTTTACAAAAATGTCACAACATTTTTTATTTATTATAGCACAAATTTCTATTTCAAATGATGCACAATTTTCAAATCTAACATTTCAGTTCATTCTAATTCACTTTTTACACGTTAAGGTGTCTTCTCATTTTAACTCAACCTTATATATACTCCGTAATATACAATTTTCAAATCTAACGTTCTGGTACATATATAGAAATAATGCTAGAGTAATTTATTTGAAAATTATTTGGGTAGAAAATTAAGCATCAATATTGAAGATAATAAAAGTAAAAAATAGATGTTTACATTTTGGTTGACTCGCAACCTACATGATCAACTCACTTAACCTGCTATCCGTG